AGTCGTCATCATCTATGAGGTGCGCATTGAGCCTGTAGTGGTCGATTCCATTACGTCTTACAGTCGTAAGACTCGTCGTATTCACCTAGAATGTCAAGTTACACGACAGGCGATACATTGTTCAATTTGTTCAGACGTTGGTTTTGAAGTGCGTCAATAGAAGACATGGTTTACCCGGAGGCCGAGATTGATGACATGAACCTTGCTGCCGATACTTTCGGTGACATGTCGGTTCCCTCCCTTCCGCTATGTCGACATCTGCCGCAACCCGCCGTAAGACCTAACAAGTGCATCAGCACTACGGCATTGAGAAGCGCATCTCACTCCGCCCTGGTCATGTCTTAACCAAACTACACGTCGTGTGACCCTGACCGAAAAGTCCTCCATAATCCACATCCCGGCATTGTATATCTTCGCCGCTTCATGCGGATGTACGATCGAGAAATCGAACCGCCTCAGTAGCTCGACAAACACTTTGTTGAATTCCATCAACGCGACGTTCTGGCCCAAGCACTTGTACTTCCCGTAGTGGAAAACTAGCTCCACGGTACTGGCCATGTGCGCAAGACGTGCAGGATCTTCCGAAGCGTCTAGCCAACGTTCTGGCCTGAAGAGCTCAGCATCTGGACCGAAGATATCTGTAGAGTGCTGGATGCTGAGATAGGAAGACCCAATCTGCGTGCCTGCAGGAATGAATTTGCCGGCAAGGATATCACCGCCTGCAGGAACGCTTTTGAAGTTCGACCCACTCGCTGGAGGCAGAATGCGCAAGCCCTCTTTGATAGTAGCCTGAAGGTACGGCAGTTGTCGCGCCTCAGCATCCGTGATAGGGGAAGAAATCGTCCCAGCAGCAATGCCGTTATCGATCTCCGCTTGCAGTCTTGTATAAGAAGACGCATTGGCCAGCGTATGCAGCATCACAGCGCGAATTGTAGACGCCGAAGTATCGCTACCCGCGATAATCTGCAAGAGCGCTTCGCTCGATGCTTCTTCCGGCGTGAGACCATGGCGAATAAAAGATCCTAGCATGTCGGACTTTGGCTTGGAATCCTCGGATGCGAATCTTTCCGCAACCGCTTTCCTTGCCACGTTGATGAAGGCACCGAAGCCGAGCTTGTCGCTCTCTTTAGGAAGCACGCCTCTCAACAGGCGCGAATGTAACAGATTCGCCAGCCAAGGCACGTACGAAAGCGCCATCATGACGGGAACGTATGTCGTGGTGATCTTGATGTAATCGTGGAGATCGACGTCTTGCTTTAGATAACCCATCGGTTTCCCGAATGCCAATGCGCTGATGACGTCTAGGGTGAAGTACTGCGTTTTGAGCGCTAAATCCATAGGTCGGTATTCAGTCGCGGTCGAGATATACTTCGTCTCAATTAAATCGATAAACGCAGCAACCTGTTCATCAACGGTGCCTTCCATAGACTCATTTTCCTTTCCAGAATACCCAGGAGCCATCTTGTTCCTTAACTTCAAATGCGCCGCCTCGTCGCGCATCGAAAAGAGATTGTCGCGTCCAGGCTCCAGTTTCATCGCATCGTACCATGGCCCTCGTGTGTATTCAGACCGCACTGCTGTGGTCTTGCGCACGATGTCTGGATCACTGGTGACCAGATCGGTTGGGCTGACGCGTACCAACGGGCCATATTTGTCGGTTAGTTCTTTCGTCGCGAAAGGCAGTTGCCCTCTGAGCGATTTCGATATGATCCAGTAGGTGGAGATTGATGCCCAAAAGGGTCCGGGGATGTGCGATAGCCGGTACCATTGCAGTGCGACGCGGGTGAGATATGTTAGCAGTAGTGCGGTTGGTACGCCAATCGCGATGAGGCTGTTGTAAGTGTTCAGAGCGGGGCTGGCCCCGCCATCGTCAACGCTACCCGCCATTCTACGACGGAATACACTGAAGGGAGGTGAATACTGTGCGATGCGCATCTCGTCTCGCGACGCATCATATATGTCTTGCCCATTGCATTGCTGGGCGTAAGCATGTTTTGTCGTGCATTATCGCACGACAGGCATCTCTCGCTGCTTGAGTCCCTTCTCGCACTAGCCTGCAGACGGGCACATCGCACAAGATTTACACCCAACCGCTCAGCGCGGAGATGCCAGCCAAAATCTTTCGTTGCTATTCAGTATTTCCGTTGAAAAAGAGGGTGAGGTCTACATCTCCTCAATTACTCAGAATCTTGTGCAGGAGCATGCGCGCATGTTTGCCAGTGGTGATGGAAGGCATGAGTTGTAATCAATGCATACTGACAACCATAGAATCCATCCCAAAGCAGTACCCCGCATGACACCGAGTTCAATCCCCTGCTACTCAATATCTACCGCGTCATCGTGCGTGAGGTGTAGTTCATGAATAGCCCACGTTGTGAATTTGAACGCTATGAATGATGTTACCAACGCCTCTGAACTCGAAAACAAAGCACCTGATCATGGAATCGTTAACACACAAGAAGGAGAAAGCCTGAAGCCACAACTACTTATACACCGTACCGCAAGACGATACTCCGTTTCATACGGTACTGACCCGAACACCAACGTAGATCTTGCACCAATCATCTGTGTTGCACGTCGTTCGAATCGGGCAACTCCTGAGCTACAGGAGCCGTGTACATCTCTTGCGTTCCGGAGTAAAACTCGGTGTTCTTTTTCTCAGGTTGGCCATACTGCGCTGGCATTGGTGACAGCGCTGACATTGGGGACATCGGCGAGCCATATGCGTGTTGTTGCGGCGTGGGAAGACCATCATCTGGAACGACTTTACGATTGTGTTTGCGTCGGAAACATAGAAAGAGAACGATAGCTATGATAGCTATACCGCCAAGTGCAGCGCCGATCCCGATACCTGCTTTAGCAGCCGTTGACAGCCCTTGCTCAGACCGTGTCTTACTCCCTGATGTACTCACATCGGTGTCGTTAGGTGAGTTCGGCTTCACGCTCTCAACGACGCTCCAGTGTCCCGCCCAGCTCTGGTTGAAGTAGTTCGTCTTCTCGCTATCCCAGTAGTCTAGAGTGGTTGCTCCGTCGGCAATGTCCGTGAGCTGATCACCTAGGCCCTGGCCGTTGAAGCCTGGTCCTGGGGCTTGACCCAGCCATGTGATCTGAGAAGCCCAGTTGCGACCGACGTACGCTGCTTGGAGGAATGCACGGCCTAGTCTATAGCGGTCGTCCTCGTTTGTAGGCGTGTAAGAGTGACAAGGGAAGTAGGGTGTTGGCTTCTCGACGATGGGTGTGTCAAGCGTGAGGTTGAGTAGTGCGAAGGGGACTTTGATCGTGACGTTGAGGCTAGCTCCAGAGCCAGGAGGAAAGGTAAAGCTGAGGTATGCAGGAGAGGTGACGATCTTGGCGTAGTTTGGGTCGTCCGTCTTCCAAAGAAAGTATTTCGTCGTTGGATCGTACTTGATCGGAAGTACTTTGGCAAGGCCTTCGCATGTGTTGTGCGGTAGTGAGAGGTACGGATTACGAGGGTCGATGATGACTTGTTGGGTCTTGCCTGTCTCTCCAGTGTCGGCGACGAGCAGATTACTGATGCTGTCCACTTCGAAGGGTGATTCGCCATACTCAACCCCGATGCCAATGTCAAGGAGGTCGACTTTATCCTGGTCTCGAAAGGACGTTGGTGGACCTATAACGCGACCTTTGTTGTAGCCACCGAAGACCAGCGAGCCAGGGTAGTCAAACGCCGCGGATCCAATATGTAGTAGATAGGAGTATGAACCGATGATGCCATCCTTGTACAACTTGCCGTTGTAAACGTTGAGCGAGACATCGTGTCCCGCTACACTGTCGCTCACCGAGAAGGTTTGCACTTGCTCTGCAGCCCCAAGGCCTAGGTAGCCGAGCCTCATCCCTGAAACCTTGCCGTCGAATGCCGTGATATTGCCCGAATTTGTATGCATGATTGAGGCGTTCCAGACAGTCGCGCCGCCAATGGTCAATGCTCGGTCCGTGTAGTTCGCGGGGCCTGCTACTAGGCCGAATGATGGGAACTTGACAGTAGGATGCCAACCGTTCGCTGGTATGAAGCTTGTTGCACCGGCTTCGGGCTCCCACGTTCCTCCTTCCCCACAGGCACTGTCCGGGAAAGGATCGCAAGCGGATCGGCTAAAGACGAAACTCTCAAACGTCCCTCCCGGATAGACGTCGACGTCGGCATGGTTCTGACCTCCTATCTTCAGATTGGTGTCGTTGCCTCCGAACGTTACTCGCACGGCCTGCCATGGCCCATCGGGGCCATATTTCTTGTCACTCCATGGTACGTCGAGGTGGCGCTGCGCAGCCGAACAAAGTATGAAGAAGATCAAGAAGTTGAAGCCGAGCTGGAGGAGAGATCGTTGAGGCATCGGATAACGTATGAGTATACTATCAAGAGCCGTGTGGTAACTGTGACGAGTCGCTTTACGATCAACTATGGCATGCTATACATAGTCAGTGTGAGCCAGAGTGTCGACGTTACCCCACCCGTGGGTGACACGAGGCTTCCGATCCATGTAGGTTGGAACGGATAACGACCTACATGGCGTTTCGAATGAAGTCACGGGCGGGGCCCGAAGTCTGCACGATTGGTCGAAGATGCTGTTCTCGGTGCATACATCGGTCCTGAAGCACTATAACAATAGCATTGTGCCTCGCACAGGATGTACTCCGCCGACAATGTAACCTTCTTGTTGTCGTCATGCGGTCATTCCCCGAAAGCATGTAGTCAGCCTTCGTCTTGGAGTGTGCCTTGCTGCAGGTAATCTCGTCCACAGTGTCTTCTCGAGGGAGTGAGAAGTGGCCACGACCTACATCTGCAAGCATCTAGCGACACTCCATGCCACGCAATCTCAGTTTTTGTGTTTGCTTCTCAACGCTCAAGGATCGTCTGTACATTAGGCATGTCTTCAAACTCTTCCGCTCTGCCCTCCTTTTCATGCCATGGTCGAGGGGCGCATATACCACTTTCCGTGCGTCTTCAATATGCGCTTTCGGCACGTAAGCTGCGTGTTATTTTCATGGCAGGAGGCCTTCTCCTGCTCGCGGGTGTCTTCATAAGGTACGATGAGCATGTTGCTCGACTTCCAACCCAATTCCGACAATTCACCAAGCACAACCCTCCTTCCATCACGAAGTCATTGCAGTGCACGATGCCATTGACAGAAGAGAGCATCGTCTGGTCAGACTTCGCATACGTCCAGTATGTGACAAATTCGAACTACCTGTGCAACTCTCTCATGATCTTTGAGGCGCTCAGACGACATGGGACGAGAGCCGACCTTCTCATGTTGTATCCACAGAAGTGGAAGGTGCCCAAAGACGTACTCGATGACGACGCACATCCAACCGATTATGAAGGCAAGCTGCTTGCCCAAGCTCGGGACCAGTATCACGCAAAGCTGAATCCTATCCAAGTAAGGACGTATGTCAATGAGAAGGATGCGACGTGGCAAGACAGCTACACGAAACTGTTAGCATGGAATCAGACTCAGTACAAGCGCGTGATTTCTTTAGACTCGGACGCGACGCTCTTGAATGTACGTACCTATCCCCGTCGACAAGCGAAGCTGTCGCTTGCTGTAATGACCGGTGTTGACGATCAGTAGCATATGGACGAGCTTTTTCTCCTTCCCACGGCTCCGGTTGCCATGCCTCGCGCATACTGGCTTGAACAATTCTTCCTATCGTCCCAACTCATAGTCATCGAGCCATCGGAGGATAGCTGGCAGCGGGTGCAAAGCGCCATGGAACACCACGAGGGCCACGACTACGATATGGATATATTGAACAAGGTGTTCGGTGCCTCGACTTTAGTGATACCGCATCGTAGATACGATCTTTTGACCGGTGAATTTCGCCACCAGATTGATCAGCATGAGGCCTACCTCGGTTCGCCGACGGAAAGTTGGAACGCAAGGGATGCGGTGAAAGAAGCCAAGTTCGTCCACTTTTCAGACTGGCCGCTGCCAAAGCCGTGGTTGAACGCGACAGAGGATCAGGTCGCAAGACAACGACCACCATGCAGATTGGTGTCAGAAGGCGAGTTGGATTGTACGGACCGAGACGTGTGGTTGGAGCTTCGTAGGGACTTCTCAGAGCGACGTCTGGTATGTCAGTTTTGTCTTTTGCAATGTGCGGTACTGACAGCTCGCAGCGGGTGTGCGGAAAGGCTTACGACAATGTATAGGTAGCGGGTTAGATGCGCGCCGCATCGAGCGCATGGCATCCAACTCTATTGAAAAAGCTGTTGATGTTATTGATTCAATCCCGGAGGCCGATTGAGTCGAACAACGCGTATCAGATCAGTTACCTATATCGCGAACTACTGTATCATATATGGCTGAGTGGTGTTGTCGATGGCGCAGCGGACGCGGTAGTATAGCGGAACAGCGGAGAAGGAGCCGTGAGCCCACCCAAGCAGCTAACGATAGCTTCCCTACGAGCTTGGTCAGCTGAACTGTATATGATTAGTATGTGCGTCATATGCCAATGTTGGTACCTATAAATGCTGTGGTACCACAATATCACGATACGTGCGAGACCTCCAAAGACTGAATCTATACACACATAGCCCAAAAAACATGTCGCATCTCCAGTATTACGCATATCCCGGCAAGGGCGAGTCGGCCAGAGAGAACACCAGGTACAACCAGTCAGTTCGTATCGGCGACCGCATTGAGTGTGCAGGCCAAGGTAATTTATACCCATGACTGCACTGAGCTCCACAAACTGATGACTGCGACTGTAGGTGGATGGGATCCCATGACCAGACTCATACCCGCAGACATCGACGCGCAGATCGACCAAGCTTTCCAGAACGTGGAACTCGCTCTGAAGACCGCTGGTGGGAAGGGTTGGTCTCAGGTGTTCCGCGTAAACTCTTACCACATTCCTATGGACAATGAGGCCTTGGGGGCTATGGTGCGGAATTTCAAGAAATGGATGCCGGATCATCAGCCTATCTGGACGTGTGTTGGCGTTGTCAAACTGGGTGAGGATGCTATGAGGGTGGAGATTGAGGTATCGGCTCATGATCCTCAATAGAGGACGGTGATGGAAGGTTCGACGAGAGTATGTTGGACGCGTCCTGGGGAGCCTGGGACGGATTCAGAAAGACGTTGTTTGTAGCCTATGGGAGTGGAAACCGACTCCCAGTATGAGCGTTGGGCTAATACAAGGAACTCAATTAGCATTGTAATCATTTTCCATCGATGCGAGATGACGTCGGTAGCGATGCGTGATGTGGAAGGTGCGGACTAAGGACGGAACACGTGAAAGGGCGATGAGGCTTGCCAAGACCATCGGCGCAACTATCGCCGACGGGATTCTTCCAGTTCTAGCTCTTGCGACGCGCTCCGTACTCCACGCGCAACTTCGCTACCAACTCCATCATTCCCAATATCCCTTCTCTGCGCCCAGACGAACACTTAATACACGATGCCGAAGTTCTTCTGCGACTACTGCGATGTCTACCTCACCCACGACAGTATGAGCGTGCGGAAGGCGCACAACAACGGCCGCAACCACCTCCGCAACGTGCAGGCCTACTACGAGCAGATATCGAGCGACCAGACACAGCAAGTCATCAATAGTATTACCGACGCATACAACACAGAAGGACAAGCCAACCCGCTGTTCCAACAGAACCTGGCTGGTGGCTTCCCTGGAGGCCCTATGGGCGGTATGCCCCCAATGGGAATGCCACCGATGGGTATGCCTGGATTCCCGCCGCCAGGAATGCCGCCCATGGGTGGAATGCCTCCAAATTTCATGGGCCGCGGAGGTCGTGAGTTGCCGCATAGCTACCACACACGATCCCATACTGACAGCGCGACAGCTCCAATGCCGCCCAACGGAATGCCACCCTTCCCTCCGCCAAACGGTATGCCCCCGGGCCCTGGCGGTATGCCGCCCTTCCCACCACCACACATGGGCGGAGGTCCACCCCAAGGAATGCCGCCCTTCCCTTTCCCACCACCAGGACAGGCAGGCTCACCCCCTGGAGGAATGCCTTACCCACCCCCAGGCGGTATGGGAATGCCACCTGGCGGACCTCCTGGCAGATACCCTCCTGGACCACCGGGACGTTAGGAGCGACCTGGTGCACATGGAGGAATGATACCTGCCTTTGGTCACGACAACTACGCAGCTGAGGCCCTTGAGGCGGGCATGAAGAGGAAGAGGCAGAACGATGAAGATATACCCGGAGTTTCCATGAGGGATGGTGGACGAGAAGGAGGTGGAGCAGCTACCGGCGCGAATGCTATAGTCCCGACACGGATCAAGAGGGTGTAGCGCAGGCTGAGACCATACGCTAGGGGAAGCGAGAGCTGTGAGATGGCTGTAAAGGCACATGGGAACAAGTACGTCCCATCTCCAGGCTGTCGCGATGGTTTCGGCTCACGCTCATGTAGTATTACTTGTCAAAAAGTTCATCAGTAATTACACGTAATGCGGACTACGAAATCTGTATGAAACTCACAATACGCTTATTGTTTTCAGTTGCCGACCACCTTCTATCTACTGAACAGACTTCTGGCAAACGTTTCAACATCCATCATGTCCATGCTCAGCGCCTTATTCGCCGTCCTGTCCATGTCCCACCACACGCCATCCCTGGCGAAGACTAGCCTGTACTTCTTGATACCATCTCCTGGCGCCGAGTCAAGCTCCTTCTTCAAATGGTCCATGCTCCACGCCTCTTGCTCAACCTGCTTCCCGCTCACCCGCTTGACAATATCAGCCAGCTGCCCATAACTTACAGTATCACCTGCAATATACATAACACCGTCCTCAGCTTCCACGTCCCTTGATATGATCCTCGCCAACACCCGTCCAATATCATTCACATCCGTCACAGTAACCTTGTGATCCCAATCCCTCAAACATCTCACCACCACTTTCCCTTCCCCCTCTTTACTCCGATCCACAATCCCCCAGAACTGCTCGAAAAGGAACGACATGAAGATCCCCGTACTAACAACCGTCCACTTGACATTGTTCTCATCCGCCTTCTTCCTCAACAAATTCCTCACATCGCGCTGCGCACCAAACAACGGCATCAACCCCTCCCCATCACCAATGACATCGTAATCAACACCCCACTGCCAGGGAAAGAACCATAATTTCCCTTTCCCCTGCTCTGTTCTGATCTTGCCAGCTAACAGGGCTTCCTCGGCGAGCTTGGGGACTATACTGGGGTTGGCGCCGAAGCCTGTGGCGGAGATGAGGATGTCGTATGCGGAGAAGATTCTGGCGAGGGAGGGAGAGGGTGAGGAGAGGTCGATGGCAGTAAGGGAGATGTTGGGGGATTGGAGGTGAGTGTATTTGGATGGGGCGCGGATGCCGATGGTGATGTGGGTGTTTGGGAGGGCGGAGAGGTGAGGGAGGAAGGCTGTGCCTAGTTCGCCGGCGCCGAGGAGGAGGATTTGCGTTGGAGGGGAGGTCATTTTGCAGGGATGTTTGATGGAGAGGTATGCGAGTAGTATGAGATGGATGTTATGTTGATGGAAGGAGGTGCAGGATTTCACGTCAGGTAGAGGCTTCTTCTTATATGTACGTGGGTATAAGTCATCATGTTAGATCAAGAACAAGATCAGGTCATCATCTATCACATGCGAGGTATGATGCTCTATGCTTTTGTACATGTTTCTATGGTGGGGAAGTAGCGCGGAGATAAGATGTGGGAGACCGGACTTAGTCGGATTTGGATCAAGACATGAAGTCAGGGAAGGAACGAGTAGAGATGCGTTGCCTAGCCTTAACCATGCACTGGTGTGATCCTTCAGAAACCAGATTAACGTGGATGCTTGTGTAAGAAAGACGAGATTATAGCACGTATTGCGCAAGTGAGATACGCGCAGCCAAGTTGACCCCTCCATACATGACTTTGGAGTGAGTTGCTGAGGATGGGATATAGCGTGGACTGGCGTCGTAGGCTGCAATCTTGTCATTAGTACTGTCCTCTCACTTCAGGTACTTTGTTAGTGGCTTGACAATGTTATGTCCAGGTGAGGTCAAATGTCGAGTAAAGGCACCTGTGCTGACGGTCCACGCTAAGCCCAAACCACGCTAGTGGTTCGCCTATCAACCTTGGAATTTTGAAGCCTCCAGGCTTTGTGCGCAGTGCTCTTCGACGAACAACTATTAACACCCGAGTGCGCCTACGTCCATCCCAAGCAGAAGCCACTCATCGCAATCATGGCCGAGCAACTCGTACTCCGTGGCACCCTCGAGGGCCACTCCGGCTGGGTCACCTCCCTCGCTACCTCTCTGGAGAAGTGCGTATACGCGGGAAGAGGGAAAATGCACGAATGCGCAATACTGACACGCGATTAGCCCCAACATGCTCCTGTCCGGATCGCGCGACAAGACTCTGATCATCTGGAACCTGACCCGCGACGAGACCTCCTACGGTTACCCCAAGAGGAGTCTGCACGGTCACTCCCACATTGTCTCCGACTGTGTACGTTCACTACAAAATTGGGCAATTGGCTAGCTAGGAAGCGACGACGGCTGAGCTGACAATTGCTGCACAGGTCATCTCCTCTGACGGCGCCTACGCTCTTTCCTCATCGTGGGACAAGACCCTCCGCCTCTGGGAGCTCTCCACCGGTGTCACCACCCGCCGCTTCGTCGGCCACACCAACGACGTTCTCTCCGTCTCCTTCTCCGCCGACAACCGCCAGATCGTCTCCGGATCGCGCGACCGAACCATCAAGCTCTGGAACACCCTCGGTGACTGCAAGTACACCATCACCGACAAGGGCCACACCGAGTGGGTCTCGTGCGTCCGCTTCTCCCCCAACCCCCAGAACCCCGTCATCGTCTCTGCCGGTTGGGACAAGCTCGTCAAGGTGCGTACATCCGCGTTTACACCAATTCCCCCATTTCCTTGTTTATATGATGAATATCTATGTATTTGCTACTTCAGAGCTTCGGCTATGAGACAATTATCACCTAGTACTGATTTACGCTCCTCACTCGATCTGCTTCAAGCCACTTCAAATTCGGGAATCTGACAATATCCAGGTCTGGGAACTTGCTTCCTGCCGCATCCAGACCGACCACATCGGTCACACCGGTTACATCAACACCGTCACCATCTCGCCCGATGGCTCCCTCTGCGCCTCCGGTGGCAAGGACGGAACCACCATGCTGTGGGACCTGAACGAGTCCAAGCACCTCTACTCTCTCTCCGCCGGTGACGAGATCCACGCCCTTGTCTTCTCCCCCAACCGCTACTGGCTGTGCGCTGCCACCGCCTCCAGCATCATCATCTTCGACCTTGAGAAGAAGTCCAAGGTTGACGAGCTCAAGCCTGAGTACATGGAGGTTGGCAAGAAGAGCCGGGAGCCCGAGTGTGTCTCCTTGGCCTGGAGCGCCGACGGCCAGACCCTGTTCGCCGGATACACCGACAACCGTATCCGCTGCTGGGGTGTCATGGCGAGGGGATAAGGTAGTGCATGTTGGGTAGTGCAACGGGGCGTAACGGGAAAATCACGATTCCACATCTTCTGTAGCATGCCATGGGTTATGATTGATGCTCATGCGGGATGGGTTTGGGACTCTTCCGGCATTACCACGTCCAGGCGCTTAGAGTCAATGAAAATTCTCAAGTCCAAAAGTGGTTGCTTGCCATGCGTGGTGGCTATGTTTTCGTATGTGGGCTATGGAAGCTCGGGTCACTCACAGAAGTGTCGCTTGCGATGAATGAAGTCTATATTTCATTGGCTGTGTATGTTATGGTGAACGTCGAACCTTTTGTTTTTCTATCCTGCCTTCCCCGTCTGGCTCATAGAAAAAGCAACGATTAGGCCCCATGCCGTGATCATATACGCGCTCACGCCGAATGCACCCTGGATGTCCGACTCCAGCACCGTCCAGCATACCGCGAACACCAGACTTCCCAATACAAGCATGAAAAAGCTAATCGTGACCGGAACGTCGAAATCCCAGCCTTCTTGGAAGTAAAAGCCCCATCCATCAGCTGGCTGGTCGCCAGCTCCCGACAGTTTTCCAGCGATACGTTTCGGTACCCGATGCAATACCCAAGTATAATCCTTGGTGATAGTCTCGGGGCATTTGAGCATATGGAGAAGCTTGCTCGATCCGATGGGCGGCCATGTATTTGGCGGGCAAGGGATATTGCAGCGGTACTCTGCGTTTAGGTATGGCTCGACGATGTGTATTGGAGGTAAGCATTCGCAGTAGCTTTCTGTTGATATTCTTGAGGCACAAGATTCGTTGTGGTCGCGAATCTCAACATGTTCGTTTGTTTCGAGAAGGAACTGGATTTGCATGAGCCCGTGAGCGGTGTGCTTGGAGATGTTTTGGTCACTTACCTTGGTGAAGAAGATTCCTTGTATTGAACGGCATGAAAATGCACGGAAGAAGCGGTTGTGGCGTTGAGATACCTTGGCTTTGAGAAGGCTGAAGAGTTCTCGGTCGCTCTTGATGTCATGGACGTCGATTTGGAGTAATGTTGGGTCGTCGCGCCTGCGATGTACGCAAGACATGAGATGGACCGTGTTTAACTGTTGTTGTGGGTTGCTCGGCTTGTTGGTGTTGGCCGTGGGAGCTGTGTTCCCGGTGTTGTATCGAACGAGGCCAGGAGAGTTTTGATTGTGCCAGGGAAACATCGCTAGCAACATGCAACTTACATGATGCATCCATGTTGACACTCTGATAGCATACTTCTGTGCCTTGACGCCAGGGCGATACCGAGTCACTGTAACCTTGGTGTTTACAGAGGATTTCTTCATCTCTTGTACCAATGCCGCCACCCCACCACTGTTTAGTTCTTTAAAGTCGTCAAAGAACTGATCGCCGCATGTCTGTGTTCAGGGTCAGTGGGGTGGTTTTGCATAAATACCTTTCTGATAAGCTTACACATTCACACCATATACGCGTCCAGCCACGTCGGAGTGGAGGCTCCAGTAACCCTAACGCCTTGAGGATATTATGTTGTAACGGAAAGGCAACTTCTGTTATAAAAAGTAGCGCCAGGCGTTCCAGATTGATGCCTTGAGCTCGGTTATATCTTCTCATCGGAGTACCGAGCAAGCCTACACGCGCCGAGACAAATCTGCGTAGGTAATCTGCGAAAAAGCCATACACCAGGTTTTTTGCATCTCTTAGCCATGTACGCCTACTGTTACCTGTCACAGAACTTGGCAGATCTGGTAGGGAGGTCGTCTCCACATAATTTGCGATATAAGCTGTTGCCTCTAGATGCACCGTACAGAAAGCATGAATGTTTGCTTGTAGTGTCGCATAGGCATTGCTGTTTCCCAGAAACAAGTAAAAAGCTTTCAAATCTCCCAATTCTGGAATCTTATCTGATCGTTGTCCTGTCTCTTCTTCCGAGCTGTCTGTAGAATCCTCTTCCGCTTCATCGCGTTGATACCCGAGTTCCGGTGACTGAATGTTCATGACCGTTCCGCTGGCGAGATGTTGAGCTGCGTAACGTGTCTTTGCTTCAACGAGACGGCAGGCTGCAAACTGGATAGGGTCTTTCGCCTCTTTATTGAGCTGCTCCCCAAAAACTTCCAGGTAATGACGGATGTATCTCCTTAGTTTGTTGGGTCCGATGATGGGATCGTTGCGGACAGACTCATATAGAGGTATGAGCAATTGGTCCTCTTGTAAGATGGAGACGAAGATACACGTAGCGCGCTGGATTTGCTCAACTGTGGATCTGCTACCTCCGTCTGTTTGCGCCTCGATCATCTTCGTGGTTGGTTCGCCACGGGAAGGTGGCTCGGAATCCATTGCCTCATCATCCTCTTCCAATAACGCCCATCCTTGTCTGTACGTCCCTAACCGACGAGCTTTTCTTTTGGCCGTCATCTCTTTATAGTCCTCTCGGTAGGTCTTCAGCACCTGTATCGCCCATTGAACCTTCTTCTCTTCCTCTATTACTTGAAGATCCTTACGCTCCTCAGCAGCAAGGCGTGCTCCATCCGCTTCTTGCTGTTTGCGCTGTACCGTCAACGCAGTGAGCTCCTTGTCTTCGTTTTCAGACCTGTGAACCATAGCTCCTCTCAGTTCAGTCTAATGACCCCCGCCTCAAGAAAACGAATACGTTAAAATGCGTGTAGAACTTCGCTTGTAAAGAAGCTGGAATGATTGAAGCTCTCGAGGAAGTGATGGAAACCGTCCAGCGCAATGCAATGCAGTAGATAAGCGCGCATCAGGCTGAGGCCTGTCAGATGATCAGGCAACCACACCTACGCAGCCTTGTCATCGTGCATGACTTTCAGCCTTCTACCAAAACTTGTTCTCCAAGCCAGCCAGCGATATGAATGGCATGATGCCACCATTTTCATCGACGGGCAATTGTATGCGGTCGGATTTAAAGCAGCAGCGGAACTGGAGAGCAGGTGCACGCACAACCCTGTTAGCGATGAGCTCTTCTGAACCTAGAAAAGCTACTCTCAGTGGCATGAAGTATGTCGAATAATACGGCTCGGGCGAGGCTTTGACGGTTTGAGGTGACTTTTGCATGCCCAAAGCAACTCCGCGTCTCAGCCGTTAGAGGTACGCCATCCTAGCGACGCGATCGGAACTCCGCTAACCGCATCCGATCTACCTCGGCTTGATCACGCATCACAAGCTCCCCAGCCGAACGACTCGCGCGTCCAGGTCATCGAAGCCGACGACGTCTCAATCCCAACTCTTACTCCAATTTCTGCATTTTGTGACATACAAAACTACGAACACATTCCGACTCAGCCGATAAAGAGAAAGAGCAAGGAAAGACGATAGGCAGCTACAGTGGACGGCAGCGGCACACGACTAATAAGCACAATGGCGGGAGCGTACCAGAAAGAGTTCTTCAACGTTTCGTTTCCTGCGGAATATGTTGCGCATGTTGAAATCAACAGGCCGGAGAAGCTGAATGCTTTTAAAGAGGTGTAAGTACAAAATGTATTACCTGCTTTCCCGAAGATCGGGATATGTAACCCAGGAACGTATCCGTATCACATGATGCCAGCAAAGAGAAGGGAACACACCGGTATCACGGAATCACTAGACACTTTGTCTTAAGGTCTCTACAAACGATGTAGATGTCATCATTACTCCTACGAACTTACCGCGCGACCTCTCATTGTTCCCCCCAGACTAATCCCCAACAGCATGTGGCTAAACCTCTCCTCAATCTTCCGCCAACTCTCCCACGACCCCTCCGTGCGCGCCGTAATCCTGACCGGCGCCGGCGACCGCGCCTTCACCGCCGGCCTCGACGTGCAAGCAGCCTCAGAAGGCGGCGCCCTCTCATCCCAAGCCGAGACCGCCGACGGCGCACGCAAAGCCAACGCCCTGCGCCGCCACATCCTGGAATTCCAAGCCTGCATCACCGACATTGAAAAGTGCGAGAAACCTGTTATCGCCGTGCTGCACGGCGTAAGTTTCGGTCTGGCGCTGGATATGTGTCTAGCATGTGACATTCGCATTTCGACGACTACGACTCGTTTCAGTGTGAAAGAGGTGGACATTGGGTTGGCCGCTGATATTGGCACTCTATCGCGTCTGCCTCATTCCGTTGGAAACCTGTCTTGGGTTAAAGACATTGCGTTATCAGCGCGTATCTTCGGGTCGGATGAGGCGTTGCAGCATGGTCTTGTGTCGAAGGTGTACAAAGACAAGGCGGAAGCTGTTGCGGAGGCAACTAAACTGGCGGCGTTGATTGCTTCGAAGAGCCCGGTTGCGGTGCTGGGGACGAAGGAGATTATCAATTACTCGAGGGATAGGCCGATTAGTGAGGGGCTGAATTATACGGCCGTGTGGAATGCGGCAATGTTGCAGACGGCGGATGTGAAGGATGCTATGATGAGTGGGTTGAAGAAGACGAGCCCGAAGTTTAGTAAGCTGTAGATGGTTGGTAACTTATGTAGAAAGATCAAAAGCTAATTGGTGTCATGCTTCAAGTCTTTCTTTGGTGCAATTCTCGTGTGAAGGTTCGCCAATGAAACATGTGTCAGTATATACACACAGGAGGACAGATGTATAGAAAGTCTAAAATTAATGTATTAGAAAAACGTACATATCCCGCCGCAGGCAGCGCTAACATGCAACATCTACCAAGCCTAAACAAACGAAACATCCCCTCCCCCATCTCTCCTTTGCCTCTCCACTCATCCCATCTACCTAGGTCCAAAAGGCCTAGGCCCAATAATCTGCCTCTTCCCCGCGCCAATTCCCCCCAACTTATTCTGATTATCCCCACCCATATATCCATACTGATTGACATCCCAGCTCTGGCCTCCACCCGTGCCGGCATTAGGATCCTTAGCAGCTTCTTGCAGCGCGCGCTGCGACTCTTCCCACTCCTTCTGGCGCTCGCGCTCACGCTCCATTTCGCGCTCGAGGAGGGACTTGCTGGCCCAGCCGGCGGCTTTTGTCTTTGTTTGAGCGGCGGCTCGGCGGGCGTCTTCGCCGCGTTGTTCCGAGGTGGATGTGAGCTCGGGTGGAATGTAGGTTTGGGGTTTGGGTGGAGCTGGCGCAGGGTTGGATGCGAGGTAGCGGTCGGTTCGGCTCTGCTTTGTGTACGCAGCTGGGTCGGGGAGAGGTCGCGTGGTAGGCTCGGGTAGTGGACGCGTAGGGAGAGATGGCGCTGCGGGTTCGGGGAGGGGTCGTGCTGGCTGTCTCTGTGTCTGGTCCCATTGCTTGCGGAGGTACTCGCGATCGTCTGCTTGCGCCCATGAGACGTTGCTGTCTTGTGGCGAGGGAGCGCGGGGTGGAGGCGCTGGTCGGGCTCGACTCTTGGATCGCTCGCGCGTACGACTCTTGGACCGCGATCGCACCTTCTTATCTGATAGGCGTCCTTCACGCTCTGCCTGGTACTGGCGCTCGCGTTCCTTAGCCTCTTCAAGCTGGCGCTCTAGCTCGCGTATGCGGTCGCGCTCGGCGTTGGGCTCTTCGCTACTTCCTCGTCGACTCCGCGGTGACCTGACCTTTTCAGCCTGGTATTCGCTCAGGTACTGCCCCTTCAACCTGGCATCACTTCCAGCGCGCTTTCGTCTTGTCTCGGCATCGATTCTATCCTGTGCCTCGCGCTCTTCGCGTTGGCGTTGCTCCTCCTCCAGCTTCCATTGGCGCTCTTGCTCTTCCCACTCGCGCTTCTGTTGATCCAGTCGCGCCTGCTTGGCTTCTTGCTGTTTGCGTGTCTCCTCTTCCCACTTCTGCTCCTCCTCTATGCGTATGCGCTCTTCTTCGGCTTCGCGTTCGACGCGACGTATGTTCTCGGCCTCCTCAGCTTGCAAACGTAGTCGCTCTTCTTCGGCTGCCCTCTCGCGTCGCAGTCGCTCCTTCTCAGCCAGGTTCGGCACGTGCGGGCCTGCGCTCGTGATTTGCCGCCGGCCACCAAATGAGATGCCCTGATTGCCTTGACTCGCACCGCCCATGTATCCGTACTGATGGATGTTCCATGCCGGTGCCGTGCTACCCTCGTCGACCTTCTTGCTCCAGCTACTGACTCCGCCCGGAGGTGACTTGGGGAGACCGTTGGATGTGTATGATGTGTCTGAGCCTCCAGTGCGTGCGGCACTGAGCGTCGATGCTGTCCGCTCGGCAGGAGGTCGCGCAAGGGGGTTGAATGTGCTCGAGCCGCTAGTGTTGCTGGCGGTGCTAGGTCCTCTGCTGCGTGGGAAGCCGGGAGACGGCAGTGCAGGACTCGCCATGCCGCCAGTTGCCGTCGGGCTCAATGCGCCTGCTCCACCGCGCTTTGGGCCGATGGCGTTGGGAAAGTTGGACGGGTTCTTCGCGTTGGCGACACGGCTGAAAGCGCCGAGACACTGCAGCACCTGAGCTGGATCCTTCGATTCGTAGAGGTCGACGGTGAGGAAGCGATCATGGGCGGGCATGTTCAGCGGCGGCTGCTCACAGGCTCGCAGGAAGTGCGAGATGTTCTCCATCTGTATGAAGGGCATGTTTGACTTCTTGAACCTGACAGGCGTGGGTATGGCGAGGTTGATGAGTCTGGAAAAGTTAGCCATACTGGCCCGGCTACCTGGTAACTCTACGGATATCACTGTACCTGCATAATACGGTCCCGTCCTTGAGCGCATCCAGCAGATCTCCCGCAGGCAGGCGCTCTCCGAGTGTGTCTTCTATCCAGCTGCGGACTTCGTTGGCTGCTTGGGGGGTATATCGGTCCATCCGCAGCCTTCGCATGTCCTGGTCCAGCGACGTTACGGACGCCATGGTGGTTGGTTTGGGCGCAAATCAGGCTTGTTGCGGTTGGGCACGAAGGTCGTGTGGGCGGTGATGGGAGGGGTGCACGAGGTGTAGTAGTGAGATATGGTAATGTATATGTCTCTATGTAAGGGCCTCGACTGCTACGTGTGTTGTTGTGGCGTCGGGGTATGCAATGATGGCATGTGTTGTTGTGTGGAGAAACTTGGTGGTGGGGGGAATGCTTGCACATGTGCTAACGTGAACGCACCAGCCACTCGCCCCAACGTCACCGGCTGCGCGTCAAAGTCGCCTCCAGATATTCGCCCGCTGGAATTTGTTCGCGGCCCAACGAGACTCAGCATGGCGGGCGCACCGGGTGCAATTCGCAAAGCATGGTACCAATGGAAGATGAAGCGCTTCCCCTGGCGAAAGAAGTGGCTTGTGGGTGAGTGCAGGCCTCAACATAGGTCTCTGGCGTATCCTTGCTTCCAAGTAATAACACTTCGTAGGCTTTGATCTCCAGGGCAACACCTTTTGGGAATTCAAAGACGCACTGCACGCCCTGCGCAACCGACGGATAGCAAAATACAGTCGCAGCACTCACTATGGCGACGTGCAAATATCGCGTTCGTGCCTTCCATATTCAGTGTTTGACCGAGGCTGACTGTGGCAGCGTCATGGATGCAATGGCTGAGACACACGCGCTACGAACCCCCCACCGTCGCCGAACAACACCAGGACATGATGAGGCAGGAGCGGATGAAGCAGCTGGCAGCGCAGGCAGATGCACGATGGGCCGAGAAGCCGTCAGCGCTCGATGCGCCGGATAAGCAACAGCCCGTGCAAATGTTGCAGTCGCGAGACCCAGACAGCGGCGTCACGCAAATGAATGCCGACCAAGAGATAAGGGACGAAGTAGAACCACCGCGGCCACTCGATCAGGAACTCGCGAGACCAGCGCCAGTAGAGCCCGAACAATCCGCAGAGCCTCAGCAGATGTCACGCGACCCGCCAGCACCACCTGCCGAAGACGACGCGCCTGCCTTCACGCCTAGGAAGAGGATGAAGAAGGAGCCCAAGGACTCGCCATGGAAGCAGGCGGCTCAGAGTCAGGAGTGGCAACCCCAGGGCTGGAGTCCAGCGCCAACCAAACGACGATCATGACCACGTTCAATAGCGACTGTACAACCACCTGTTTCAATATCTGGCAAACATCAGCAAGCATATGCGATATTCAATGCCACCAAAATACTGCTCTCTGTCCGATCAACCATTTCATATTGTACAATGTCAATATAATCCTCTGTGGCGCAGGATCTGTCATGCCACGCTCTCCGACCGTGGGTCGAATGTCGAGTCGATGCGAGCCTGGCAAAGCCGATTCCTTCGCCAGTCTCCGTCAATATCAATACCCAGCACATATCCACACTCATGCTAACAAGACTGTAGCTTACTTATTTACAACGCAGCAGTGCCAGAAATTCACCTTAGTGTCTCCGCGTTTTCGCACTATGTCAGGTGTTGACTACGAACTGTGGTACCGATTCACGAACCGGACTGTAAACCACGCGCAGTGACGAAAATCATACCAACGATGCGCCTAAGCATGCGCTTTGTAACATATATAGGCTCTCTACCCATGTCTTGACGTCTATTCTTTAAGGCAGTATTCATGACCATGGCACCACTTTCAAGCAAAGATGATGAAATGACATTCCAAGTCGCTGCACAAAATCTACCCCCAGAACTGCTCCTCATCGTACTACAGCACTGGCTCGGCCAACAACGCATCGTAATCGATGGCTCCGCCCACCCTTATTACACACTATCCTACACCAATCCCGAAAACATCGATCCTTTCGCCACCATCTCCACCAGCGATGCCCCATCATTCCTTTACCAAGAATACTTTTGGTCTCGGATTCGCTCCTGGCTGACCGACGCCAAAGAGTTCTCCGACCCAACAACATTCTACATGAGCCATCTCCTGATGAGTTTGAAGATGAAGGACCGCATAGGCTGGTACTATCTACCCAACCAGCCATGGGATGCTATTTGCCAGGACCCGGCACTCTCCTTGTCGACGAATTTTCCGGTGATCAGCGACCACAGTGCGCAGTATGCTCGTATGAAGCATCTCTCATCGCTCCACGGACTAGAGAAGATCAAACTCGACTTCACGGCCGAACAATACTTCGCCATGTTCGACGTCGCAGTCCCACCCTTCCATTACCGCGATGGTGCAGTCGCCGGCGACAACTTATACCGCGACGAATTCTGCCATGGCGCCGGCCATTTCCTTTTGCATACGAAGGAACTTGAACTCCATTTCGGCGACGCATACAAGCAGGCGAACCCCTGGTACGACGTCCAAGAAGCTGCTTGGTGCGAGACAAATCCCGCGTGGAACTACGCTGAAGCCAGACTACGCCCGCACGTCTGTGATAGTGGCTTGGTCATCGATTGGATATTAGAGTATGCGTGGTACAACGGGCATCTTCAACATATCAAGACGATTACCCTAACTGGAGATGTACAGCAATGGGTGAGGGAGAAGTGGTTTGATATCTTCAAGCGGCATGCTGTGTACCTTGAGGAGTATCCTGGATTGTATTATCGTATTTTCGCTGTGCATGAGCCTGATCCTATTGAGATGGAAACTATTGGTATAGACGAAGAGGACGAGGATGATCAGGATGAGGCGTGGAGGCCGCAGAATCATTATCCGCCGGCTTGTAGATGTGAAGTGGGGTGTTGGCGATTACGGGGTGGGGGAGTTGAGGAAGAGCTGGAAGGTAAAACTTGGGACGACTTTGAAATGTATGCTGATGAGGTGGTGGGGGGTTGGATGAGTGGTGTTGATCTGGGATCGCTTTGGAGCCTACGTTGACGCTACGTCTTCTTATTTGGTTCTCATTATTCCGGTGTATTCTTCAGGCCTGAATAGGTTCTTCCTTGTATAAGATGGATGTAGAGCACCCAGCCTGACACAGGAACGAATTACCCGATTATCTTCTCGGTGGCACTATTCATTCCCTTAAGCAAGTTCCAGTCGCACTGGGTGCGGCAGCGCGCTACGTACACAAACGTGCATACGCGTGCACACAAGCTGATGCTAGAATCGAAGCCCTGTCGACCATGTCACGCCTCAAACGGTGGTCCATATTGATAGGAGTCACAGCACAGAACGCAGGAATGCTGGTTAGACGCAATTATGGAGAAGTGTCACTAACAATGATGTAGAAAAGAATGAAGATACTCCAAAATATTGCATAGTCCCCATGTAGAACTCGTGACGATCTCGCCGCTACATATCGATCTTGAGACCATTGAGTCATCACACTCATCGTATTGTTGCTATATCGGAAAATCGATGTACAGCGAGGCAGGGATAAACGGCAAGGCAAAGCGAATGCAAGACATCCAATATATCCTCGGCCCCCAAACTACCCGGCTCAGCGCGACCATGACGTCACCACTCCAACCACTTTCTTACCTCGCCGCAAGAACAACAAAACCGCAACACGAATGAAGACTCAAACCCAATCGACCCCATATCTTGATCCCCATCGTGCCGACTTTCCCCTCTCCACACATTCCAATTACTCGCATCACCGATCTACGCGTCGTGGGTCTGGAGTCTGTCGATCTGGCGCCTTGCCATCTTGCCTAGCCGCCGATCAGCATGAGTCGGCAGCCACGGCATCCAGGTCCGCGTCGATGTCAGTCGATTTGACCTGTAGTAGTAGTGATTGACTACGGGTGACTACGTGGGCTACAACTAGCTATGCAGGAACTACGCGGGACTATGCGAGCTACATGACGCTATGCACAGGCTCCGAGGCACGATCCAGGGCTCTAAGAGGAGGGTGAGGGGTCAGCGGGATTGGGGGCGTGGCTATTGGACGAGGGGAGTATGGGGGAGTTGCCTGAGTAGTGGATTGTGGGAAAGCTTAAGGATGGGGTGGGCGTCTGTTGTGGAATGGTTTTGTGTTTACTGTCGCTTCATTGACTGTCACTTCACTGTCTTCATTTGATAGATTACAAGTAAACATTCATACGTTCTTGGATCACGAAAGATGCGCTCCACAATCGTCACCACAGTGCTCGTCTCCGCAAGCGTAGTATCAGCAAAAGGCCTCCTAGATCTCCCACTCGACATAGCAAACCTACTCACTTCGCTCGCCCCAGCACCAGCCAGCGACCCCCGATGGACAAACTGGCATCCCGCATCCAGCGGTGACGTCCGCTCCCCCTGCCCCGGTCTAAACGCCCTAGCAAACCACGACTTCATCCACCGCAACGGGCGCAACATGACCATCCCCCATCTAATCGCCGGCCTCGCCGCTGGCCTAAACATGGGCGCAGACTTCACCACCGCCATAGGAGCCGCGGGTCTACTCTCGTCTCCAAACCCGCTAGGTGGCTCTTTCGACCTCGACGACTTGTCCATGCACAACTTCCCCATCGAGCACGACGCCAGCATGTCGCGCCAGGACGCGTACTTCGCTAACCCGCAGCCCTTCCACAATCCCACGTGGCAGCAGTATATCTCTTTCTTCAACGGCAAAGAGCGCACGGATATTCCGACGGCGAGTAAAGCGAAGTACGCGCGCACGACGGATAGCCAGAAGAGGAATCCGGAGTTTGTGTATGGGACTAGGGAAGCGGTGTTGAGTTATGGAGAGAACGCTTTGTATCTTTCCACCATGGGCGACCCGGTTACGGGCAAGGCCAAGCTTGAGTATGTGAAGAGTTTGTTTGAGATGGAGAAGTTGCCGTTTGAGCTGGGATGGAGGCCGAGTGTGCTGCCGACGACGTTGCCCAGTTTGGGGTTGATGATTGTGCAGTTGCAGTCGAGTTCGCCGGAGCCGTTACTGGAGGGCGTCAAGATTGTGGCGTAAGTGTTCTTCCTGACTGTCTGGTTGTGTGGGAGATCTGTGCTAACGGTTGCTGATAGGGATTCGTACAAAGATGTGTTCTTTGCTATTGTTGGTGGGTCTAATATCTTGGGTAACCTTACTGGAGGTATTAGTGAGGCGTTGGGGTTGTAGAATATGCTGCGTCGGCGTTAAGGAGTAGGCTATGAATCGAACCTTATTCATTCAGCGTCCGAAGCCCATCCACATCATCTCATCCGCATAAGAGTTAAAATGCGGGCGTTGATGTGCCGCATGTGCTGGCCACTGTACTGGCAACTGTCTGTAGTAACCAAATCCTGGCTGCCATGGGATATACTGCTGCTGGTACCAAGCATGATACTCAGGCGCATACATCGGCTGGGCAGCATGGTATTGCGAGTACCCTGGTGGTGGTTGAGGCCGACATTGCTGATACGGAGGTAACTGTTGACCCTGCGACCAATGTGTATACTCCCCGGGATACCAATGAACGAAGCTCGGCCGCGTGTAGTTCTGGTGTCGTCCCCAAAATGCGTATAGACGTTGTTGCCACTGGGTCTGGTACGTCTCGTAGTTGCCAGGCTGTCCCCACGACCTGTCGGGCGCATCGTGGACAGCTTCGTAGGCAGTATAGGGCGTTGGGTTGTAGTCAACCCGTTCGATTACTTTCTCCAGGTCCGCGGCGATCCGCTGTTCGCGGCGCGGCTTTGGTGCGTGGATGATAGTCTTGCAATCACCGTGCCCATCATCTTCAGCAAGTTCAGACGAAACCGGCGTCGGCAGCGTTGACTGATTCCCACTGGATGCCTCAGGGCTCGATCTAGAGTTACCAAAGTGGAGAGAGAAAAGGTCGGGATGTTGCGCCCAGTATCGTTTAGTCTTGTCGGTACTTTCGTCGAAATCTTGCCTTGTTTGGTCAGACATGTTGCTGAAATACCTTTCAGCCATACATGCCGGCGATTCGCGGATCAGCTGCAAGAAGGCTTCGTGCTTACGGGCTGCCTGGAATTCTGGGCAGTCTTGGTGGTCCGACTTATCTGGGTTGATTCGCTCCACAACAGCGACCTTATGCTCTTGCATGACAGGCTTGTTGATGGGAGCGAACTGATTGCTCTTGGGAGTTGGGGTGTGAGAGAACATGCTGCTGATTGTTACTTGTTCTGCTTTCGAAAGTGTAGGCGCGTGATGTTGGTATGCGCGTGGTTGAGAAAGTGTCTAGTTTGGTGAGTGTACTTGGGTGGAGATAGTCTGAATGTCTTGGAGGGAAACTGAACAAACAACTACTTTTACTGTGAAATGGAAGAGTTGTTATATACATATCTCAATGCGAAGACGAAAGCTGCACCAACGCAACTATGGTTGGCCTGGGATACATTGGCCAATGCAGGGCAGTCACTCATACTGCCACAGTAAGCAAGTCTGGCATTATGAGCATGCCTAGTAAGCTATCCCTGGGACAGAGTTGAGAACCAAGGTAGCCGAAAAGAGTGGGCCACCAACCGGAGCGCAAGCTTACAAAGGGCACGTGACGAGAGGTGTAATCGCGTGGTACAAGCACGAAGAGACTATGGAAAGTGAGTAGAAAGTTGTATTACATTATGGAAGGTTCCAGACATTTCGAATTCCAGAGCAGTCGATATCAAACGCCGAAAGAGAGGAAACAAACGGGTATCAAGGCTGTAGAGTAACGCCACACGCTATGCGTGATAGAAAACAAGGCCGCAACGAGAACAAGACAACAACAGTACAGCAACATAATGGAACTGAAGCGAGGTCCACAAGCCTGCTTCGGGTCATACCATGACCAAGTTTGAAGAGCGACCTCGTCTACGAAAGGACTGAAGTCCCAAAAGCTTGGACTGCCGGAGTGATCGGTCTGAGATGATACCCATCTGGAAATCTCCCTTCACTCGCCAGAATGTTCAAGCTCGTGACGTTTCGCCTCGTAGTCCGCGTTGAACTGGTCCAGTAGTCCCGGAGCTTCGTCGCATGTCGCAAACCGAAGGGGCATGCTGTGTCTCAGCTGGTCTGGATCTTGCGCACCATGCGGAATACCGTACGCCAAGTGGAGATTTGTGATCCGGCGCTTGTTGAAATGCTCCACCGAAGCCATCACGATACGCTTCTTTTGGTAGTCGTACCGAGCAGTATCGCTCTCGAACGAGGTGTCGGAGTTGCGACGGTTGGTGGCCTTCTCGTCTTCGCTCTGGTATGAGCTTGCATCTGAGCTTGACTCTGATGGCGAGGCAGCACTGATCATGTTCGTGAAGTGGCCTTCGGAGACCACTTGGTCTGCCTGGAAGCCATATCCAAGCAAGATCTCACCATCGTGACCGCGGGGAAAGATGAGAGAGCAACCTTCGAGCTCCCATTCTATATCGCTCGCTTTCTGGAGCTCGCCCTCTACTTCAGTCACGTCGTCTGCCTCACCGATGGGCTCCAAGGACTCACAGTACGTCTCCTCAGCTTCCGAGAGCTTGACGTAATGGATGACCGGGGTCTCGATGGACGAGGCCCACCCAAGGACGATGTTCCGCTTTCGCTCTGGAAATATGTTCTTCAGCGCGACAGGGCCATTGAAGTGATGCTCCCCTTCGTCATCACTGTATTCGCTGATGATGTCGCAGATGCAGGTATCATCCACATCGGCAACATGCTTGCTGT